ACAGCAACTCTTCTGCAATCGCTGTAGCTCACGAAGAAAGGGCGATTCCGCTTCGTTCACACCAAAGCGTGCATTTTGTCCCCTTTCGTGGATGACACGAGTGGTACTCGAGGATACACCTTCCAAAGGGGGCAAAATATCCCCATTGACTACGAAAGGGTTAAGGGCAATTTTTTTTACATATTTCACATCGATGTACATTATACGCGCATTCTGACGAGTGGCGTTACAGCAACCATAAATACGATACTACATCACAAGAAAGAGCACGTTATAAGGACAGTCAGATGAGCACAAACGCCGAGCGTAACGACTCTCAGCTCCCTCTAGGCCGTCACTCTCTACCTACGACTACGATCACCGGGTGAACAGAGGCTTCACTGTTTGAGCTGAGACCCAAGAAGGACAGCCGTCAGCGTAGGACCTCTCGGTTCAGCAAGCTTCGTAAAGACCATATTTAGACCGACAAAGCTTGTCTCTTGAAACCCGAACAAGGTAGCTCTTGGTCACTAAGCTAAGATGGACAGTCGGTGATTAAAGGTGAACTAGAACTGTGACGTGGTGGTCGCTGGCCAATGGCATGGAAGTGACCAGCCACGCCAAATATTGAGCACAGCTGGCTAGCTTATTATGGGGGTTTGGCGTAAACTTAATATTGCGCGTCTTTTACATCAGGCTATTATTCTATTGGCTCAAAATTCCATGGATTTGCAACAATCAAGTTTCCATCCGGAGGTTTTGATTATGGGACGCTGTGCGAAATTTCCGACCAAGATAAGCTTAGGATTCGTAGACTTTCATTGGTAGTTACAGGTAAAGCAGGATTTGAGAAAAATAGGTTTTAGGATGGGACCTGGGTACATGTGTGTATGTTCAGTTTCTAAGAACTATTCGCTGTGCGGCAGCTACTAGCTTGCCGCCGCCAACTCTAACTTATCAATCGCTTCTCAATTTGCCTTCAAGCAAAAACTCCTCCTCCAACAACAACAACAGTCTCCAGCGCTTAGCTTGCGCTGTATTCGCCTCGAACGCCTCCTCGACGCTACTGTGACATAGTAGCACTCGTCGTGTCAAGCTCCGGTTCAAGTAGGGCACTCGTGGTGGCATCGCCAGAAGCGAGTTGTCCTGAGATTATTCGTGCCAGCCACATCGTGGGAAAGCACTAGATCACAACAGGTATTGTCTCAGCACGAACCGTTACGTTCGGTGGCTAGTTAGTGTGGTTGCACACTAGTGTGGGACACTCAGTCGGAACTACTTCTGGTGGTCTGGGGTCTAACGCTTTCACGTTTTTCGTGAATCCTTGTACCGCGCCAGAAAACGTGGAGTGAACGTCCGTTAGATACCCACTTGGTTGTGCTTGATCTACATCTGTTGCTATTGCATCTGTTTCAGAGTGCTTTTTGTATGAGTAAGCGAAAGACTCGCTAGCCCGAAGATCCGTTTGTAAACACCACTGAGTCTTTGACTGATCGACACGAGCAACTTGATAAGCTCCGTCTGGACTTGTGGTTAACAACGGTCAAGCAACTTAGGCTCGTCCGCCTGATCCGAAACGAAATACCGGATTTAAAGGACAAGGTAGCTCGGAACATCGTTCAAGACATCAATGAATTGCTAAAAAAAAAAAACGTATTGAGCAAACCCAAAAAATCTTGAAGGAACTTTTGATCACTCCATCCACGAAGACAAGAAACGTCGATTGTAGGGAGAAACTTTAATCGGAAATGTTTTCGCTTCGTTTAACTTCGGGTTAGGGTTCTAGTAATGTTATAGACTTGTGTTGAGAAGTTCAGTTTGTAATCACTCAAGAAGGAGTCGAGCGTCTGAGCGTCCGTCACAAAACCCTTGCCCTCGTCAACAGAGCCGTGTAATT